AAAGGCAGTGTCACAACTGCTCAAACTAGTCACAGTTTTACCTGCATCCATACGTAGCTGTGAACTGGACTCCAGTATAATTAACATTTCATTTTGGAACCGATGGTTTGTTTCTCTTGTCTTGGATCTACGGGGTGGTGGCAATTTTGAGCTAGCAAATGAAATATTTACCTGACTGGTGAGAGAGCATGAAATTTTTCAACCTGTTTGACATTTCCAATACTAATTATTTTATTTTGCTACTTATACAAGCTTCACTTCCTTTTTATTAAATTCATGAAACCAAACAATCATTTCAGGCTTCTGTTCTCAAAAATCCCCATTTTAAGGTACAAAAGGCCCCCAGATATATATTAAAAAAGGGTTTAAGGAGTTTTAATGTAGTATAGTCGATTATTAGTGAGACATAAACTGAAAGGTTAATTATAATGTTCACTCAGTAAATTCTTTCCCCCAGCCCATAGGTCTATTGTGTACCGTTTTTTTTTTTTAATATTTTAGCATTTTATACTTGTTCATATACCACTCTTCCCATATCACACACTAAACTTATGTTGTATGTACGCATGTGCATGTACACACACACATATATAATCAAATTTACAATTTATAACAATGTTTTCACATACATGTCTTAACCCATGTACCATAAAATTCACAGTACAATTTATAAATGTATACAGCACCCTCTATGCAAGTTTCCAAAATCCTTTGCTTAGTTTCTGCAGGTACAATTTGCGACAATCCATGTCATCGGCCGGTCTGTTATGGGGAGTCCATACCGGTTCGCCAATGAAAAATCTCTTAGCTTTAATGAATTTCTGTAATAGAATAAAACATTTGTAGCAAGAGTGTTTCATAAAAATGGTCTCAACAAATCCAATCATATACTCATTCATAAGAGTGACTGATAACTACTCCCATGGAGCAGAGCTGTTCTTGACGAGGTAAGATTTGCTCAGTTGGTCAAGAAAGTCCCTCCATTGGAACCTAAAGTTTCATTACCATGTTTACAAGATAACATTATATCGGAGCATCCTGTTGCATTAACTGGGCACTTGCTATATGTATGAATATGTAATTCAGTCTTGCTAATGTACAGCACTTAACAGATTGTTGGTTAAACAACTTCATCACGACATTGCTAAATGCTATGTTAAATACCCTGTTATTAAAGAACAATTTTAAACACAAGAGACAAATAATATGCGAAAGAAATTGCCAAGAAATAAAGGTAATTTTTTTGCTTGTGGCTGTTGCATTAACTCCTACCATTTGAAGCCTAAAAAGCAGTATGAGGAATTAACTTTATTTGTAATTCTTTAATACCATTTTATGAAAAGCTAACGATATTTTTTATCTCTCTTCGTAGATTTTGTAACCACTATTGTAATACTTTGTTTATGACACAATTGAATCCAGAACGGAATTCAAACCGAAAACACAACCAGAGGATGGCAAATTATGTATAAAATTTTGACCTAACTCTCCACTATTTCTACTTGCGTCTTCCTGGGACAGTACTATTCGTCTGTGCGAGTATGGTGTAATCACAAATAATATGAGGCTTAAGTATACATATGACAGGTCTGTTTTGAATGTTTATTTTAAGGTAACGTGACTTATGAGTTAGTAAAACATTTATAGATGCATTCTACATTTTTAGTAAACTTTATTGATTTTATAAGGAGAGATAAGTTTCTGGCTCTTTTGCTGCCTATATACGGCAGGAAAATGGTACTTGGCTTGTGGGAGGTTCTCTTTTATTATGCCTGTATCGAAGCTTATTATACTTCTTCTTGTGATTTCGTAACTGTCTTAAGAATAAAATCTACAGAGGTCAAAGTGTGAGATCAGATTCACAGGGGGATGACTGTGAAGATGATCCTTGAACATGACAGCATGCGAACCTGTTTGATCATATTGCCCAATATTGATATTTCAGAGAAACCTATTACTACAGCCAAATGAAAATAAGTACATTAAAGTTGTCCCTGCGTATAATTAATTACACACAATGCCATGATGATGTATTACCTCGGTACCAGATAGGAGTGAGTGGGTCATCGTCATGCTTCAGCCACTTTAGCCTTCAGACCCCAGTATCCACTGGCTAGTAAGGTAGGTGGGACCAGAACCATTGTGGAAGCTGTGGTGAATGGAAAAACTCTAGCCCCTGTCAGGAATGAACATCGGTTTCTTTAATATTATCATAAGAACAAAACAGAAGCATTTTAAATTAGGTTTGTGTGACCACTGTTAGATATCTGACAGAGAGATAAAATAGAAAGTACTAGTGTGAGAAGACAAGTAGGAGCAGAATGAATGAATGAATGAATGAATGAATGAATGGTGGAAGATATGCAATAATATCACGAAATGGCATAATCAAGCAGAAATGATGCCTCCCAACTTTTTCCATGTCAAGCATGTTGTAACTCCACAGGAAGACAGGATATTGGACATCCGAGAAGCAATTATTAGTCTTGGAATGCGTCACAATTTAATCCTTGAATTGGCAGAAGAAAACTAATATATAATCATCCACAATATCACCAGTTCAACTTCAGTGGCTTCTCCCAAGTCAGGAAAGTATTACTGAATTACAAAAGAAAAGGGATATAAAAATGAAGTTGGATTTGAAGTTTTCACAGTGATGGCTATATACTTCACTTTGCTTGCTGCCTGCTTCCTAAACTCTGAAGATGGAGGTGACATATTCCTCCGAAAAATTAAGTAACTTTCATCAGAATATATGGCATTATACAGAGTGTTTTTAATGAGCTTGCTGAGTTCACAGCTCTGCGCTTCACCGCGACTGGCGCATTGCTCGCCGTGAAGTGCACGCTGACTTTACCAATGACTCATCATGCCAATAACATCTAGAATGAAAGGAAGTTCTTACCTTTGTTCACAGATCACAGGGTGTTCAGAATGCTGTCCCTTTACAAGCAGACATTCCTTGCACTGGCAGAAGAGGTTTTGATTTACCTTCTGAAGATGCTCTGCAGGAATATTTTAAATTTACCTACGAATATTTTAAGTTCTTCTTCTGTTCAAGGGTTATTGCTGTAAATGTTGTCCTTCAAACAACACCAGAAGAAAAAATCACAAGGATAAGGTCAGGTGAACATGCTGGCCAAATACCACTGCTGATAATTCTCTCCCCGAAGACACTGGACAAAGCCTGCATAGATATATGTGCAGTGTGGGCGGTAGCTGAGTCTTGCTGAAACCAGCCATAGTTTTTCTTCTTCTGTTAATTTTGAAAAGAACTGCCTGAGAATATCAAATACATGTTTTTCACAATTAATTGTTTCATTAAAAAACATAAGGTCCACCATAATTCTTGCAATTAAAGCACACCAAACAAAAACCTTCAATGGATGGAGTGGGGTTTCATGGGTTAGATGTGGATTCTGTGAACTCCAGGAGCAATTGCTTTGCATATTTATGTATCCCTGTAAGTGAAACCACATTTCATCAGAAAAGAATGTCAATTGCAGATCAATCTCACCTTCAACGACAGACTGTAGAAACCAACAGCAAAAACGAATCCTACTAGCTGAATCAACATGGCTGCAAGGCGTGGATTACTGTTGTTTTATTGGGTTTAAGCTTCAACAATTGTGTTGCCGTTCTAGTATTAGACTTTGACATTCCAGTCTCTGGAGCTACACATTTAAATAATTTTCTAGTCATATGTTCAAGTCTGGCCCCTATGTCATCTAACTTCTCCTCAGCAAGTACATTTTCTTGTCTAATAGGAGTCTCGTTGTTCTAAGTTTATTCACCAAATTATGAATTGTTTGTCTGCTGGGAACTCTTTCATCATGAAATTTACATTGAAATTTTTGCTGACACTTTCCAGCAGATCCATATTTCACGTAGGTGTCATACAGAAATACACGTTGCTCTAAAGTATAGCGAACCATGTTGTGCCACACTGCTGACTAACTCTTAATTGGGAACAAATGGCTCATGGCACTGATAACTACTGTCTACTGCTCACAAATCATAAACTCCCATAAATGAACCCTACTGCTTGCTAGGTATCATAATACTGTGTAGAGGTCTACAAATTAATTACTTTCCTTCATTCCAAATGTCATCAGCCGTCAAGCATGTTGGGTCATCGGCAAAAATAGTGTGCACTTCATGACCAGCGATGTACCGGTAGTGGTGAAGCACTCAGCCATGAACGTGTCTAGTTACTAAAAATATTCCCTGTAATTATATTGTTGCAAAAGTATTATGTAAGTTCAAATTAAGATTGTAAGTTGTAGATATATATAATTAATATTCCTTTCATGATTCAGGTTATACTAACATACTTTATGTCCCTCTACATACTGTCACATGTTACTGACTAGATGTTGGGTTGCCATAGATGCTACACTTCCTAACTTCCAGAGATTCTGCTCCAGTTGTCAAAACACATTAGTGCCTGCATGATGTTGCCAAGGCAATGTAGCACATATACCAGTGCAGCAGTACCAGCTCGACTATTGCGGGTACTGAGGGTTAAGAGCATGTTGCATTATTCGTGCAAGTACCCCATAATCATTTGAACACAACTGACCTCTGCTGTTTACTGTCTTTTGAGTACAATTAACAATGCACTATGTATAGTTACAAGTAACACTGCTGAGAAGTATGTTACCTCATTTGACAGTAGTGTATATCTCAGAAACTAAGCATCTCAATTCATATGTTGTATAACAGTGTCAATTTGTTTATTTTTTGACAAGAAATACTACAGACAGCTTGTGCAAAAATTTTGTTTCAACTTGTATGTTACTGTGAACATGATCTAAATTAAACTGAATCCAATCTAACCCAGCCTCTTATACTGGCATTCACTTCACTACAGATGCAGTGACTATACTGACATAAATTGGTTATATGAGGCCTGACTGAGTAAATGCGCAGCTGAGGGTGGGATGAAGGTATAAGAGGCTTTATATTGCACATTCTGCAATGAAATGCATAATGCTATGTGAATAGTAAGGCAGCGTTTAATACATCATCGACATTATACATATCTAACACTAACTTCATCCTCAGTTTGACATACTTCATATTTTACTTGCACTGACGTGTGGTCACAGAAAACAAAAGATACCGAAGCACAAGAAATCCATATCATACACAGCAATTTCCACTCCACAATATAAATGTTGTGTGTCATGTGATGAAAAACATTATGGGTCCTGTTTTTTTATAAAGATACAATTAATTCTGAGAAATTAATTAATTTAAGTGACCAGTTACATTTACTCTGCACTATAGCTCTGGTCTCATATCACTACACTGGTAGAGGCAGAACGGCGACAGCCCACACAGTGAGTACCTGTAAAAGAAAGCCCATACACCAGCCGAATTTACTCCCTTTAGACATTTGATAATAATCAACTACAGAGGCTAGGCCATATTACCTATAGCAATGCACGCTGATATAAAGAAGACAGATGAGGAAACAGCTCTGTCTTATTTCAACATACTATTCAGACAATGACCGAGGGAAATCTGACTGAAATTGATTACTTACCTGCAGACATATCATTGATGCACCAGCTTTTTTTAGTATGTTACTTGCATAATCTCAGTTGTAATTTAACAGAAGATTTACCACATTAAAACACCAAGTAATATCTCCTTACCTAGCCTCCTCCTAGTTTAATAGCTTTACCAAATTAACCTACATCTTTATGCAATAAATAACAAGTCATGTGTAGTTGAGAACATAATTTATTAACACTCCAAGGTGGATGTTCAAAATTTCTATGATACATATTAAATTATCAAATACAACAAATAATTTAAATACGAGTACAACTGTGAGCACGTGTTCCCGAACGAGGGGCAGCAGGCAAAGGCAAGTGCTATAATAGGTAAC